CATGTCAGCAAAGTACAAAATGTTCCCATTTCCTAAGGAATGTCGACATGCTATCTGCTGTGGTCTCATGCCTCGGGGTGTGGCTTGAAGAGGACTGAGTCATGCTTCTCCAAGACATGACCAAAGGCCATGGGAGGAAGCCTTCTTTAACAGGTGAAGCTGAGCGCATGGCTTTTCCTCCTTTCGTCCTCTAGTCCATAGGGTTGGTTATGGGGTGCCTGGCTATTGTCCATTAGGAATGTCCATTTCTGTGCGCAAATGGTTTGGGACCAGAGTATTTAAAAGGATCACCAGCTCCCAAATGAGCCTCTCCTCCCCACAAGGTCTTTCGAGACGTCTGTGTTCTGTGCCTCACATAAGGAAGGGCAAATAATGTCCATTTCTGCTTCTTGGGTTTCCTCATTCTTTCAGTCTTCAGTTTGGTTCTTCACAATTCCTGACATCTGGCTTTTTTAAAAAGTCCTCATGAAAATTAATCAGCATCTTTGTGTGTCTTTATCTGAAGGCAGCCCTGTTTAGGGAAGCTTTTAATATTTGATGGACTATTGTATTTTAATATTTTGCTGGAAGCCGCCCAGAGTGGCTGGGGAAACCCAGCCAGATGGGTGGGGTATAAATACTAATTATTATTAGTATTAGTATTAGTATTAGTATTAGTATTATTTATCCTAATGTACATACTTTCATATGCAATTCCTCCTAATATACACCTTTTTAAAATTGTTGTTGTTGTTGTTGCTACTAATACCAGTGTACTGGAAGAAGCAAAGATCACCAGTGTCGAAGCTATAGTCTTCAACATCAACTTCGCTGGACTGGTCATGTTGTGTGGATGCCTGATTATCGTCCTCCAAAGCAGCTACTCTATTCCAAACTTAAAAATGGAAAGCGTAATGCTGGTGGTCAACAAAAGAGGTTTAAATGTGTCTCATCCTTTTTCAAAGTCATCCTAGGGACACGGGTGGCGCTGTGGGTTAAACCACAGAGTCTAGGACTTGCCGATCAGAAGGTCGGCGGTTCGAATCCCCACAGCGGGGTGAGCTCCCGTTGTTCGGTCCCTGCTCCTGCCAACCTAGCAGTTCGAAAGCACGTCAAAGTGCAAGTAGATAAATAGGTACTGCTCCAGCGGGAAGGTAAACATCGTTTCTGTGCACTGCTCTGGTTCGCCAGAAGTGGCTTCGTCATACTGGCCACATGACCCGGAAGCTGTACACCAGCTCCCTTGGCCAATAAAGGGAGATGAGCGCCGCAACCCCAGAGTCGGCCACAACTGGACCTAATGCTCAGGGGTCCTTATGTGACTTTAAGGTCAACAGCCTCATCGGCTTCTTCGCACACTAGGGACATGCAGAGACCATTACCATTCCTCTCATTTGGCAGATTTGCTTATAGGTTTCAGATTTCCTGGGTGTGGATTCCATCTCCACCCAACACTTAGGACTCTTGAGTGCTCTGCCTGAAACTGATTAAAAAGTCCTTTGAATAAAGTTGTCGTGGGGGGGGGGGGTGAAGAGAGGTGAGGCCTTTGAAAGCGCTATATGCAGATGAGAAAATGGAAATGCTTGCACCACGAAAGGCTGGCTTATCCATTAATTGCTATTAGCGAGCAGCATCTTTGATACGTCGATATATCGAGTTGCATCTAAAAGCTTTGAAAAAGAGGAAAACAATGAGCAACACTTGTACTGTTGGGGCGAGTGTTTTCCTGAAATTCCCTTGGGGTTTATCAAGCTCAAGCACTCCGGTTTTCAATTAAATCTGTTGCTGAGGATCAGTCTTCTCTTGTTAGATTGCACGTACACAGTGATGTAGTAAGGAATTAGGGGAAGCGACTGGATCTCTCTAGGCTTCTAACTTTCCTAGGCGCTCTGTGGTGCCTGGTGTTAGTCTGGGTCCTGCAGGGGTCAGCAAACCTTTTCAGCAGGGGGTCAGTCCACTGTCCCTCAGACCTTGTGGGTGCCAGACTATATTTTGGAGAGGGGGGGAATGAACGAATTCCTATGCCCCACAAATAACCCAGAGATGCATTTGAAATAAAAGGACACATTCTACTCATGTAAAAACATGCTGATTCCCGTACCGTCCGTGGGCCGGATTTAGAAGGCGATTGGGCCGGATCCAGCCCCCGGGCCTTAGTTTGCCTACCCCTGTGCTAGGTCCAACAAAACACCTGCTCCAGCAAACATCCAGATAAGCAAGAAGCATTGTCAGAGTTCAGGAGGGTGCAAAGCAGAGGTGGTGAGCAGGGCATACCCCTCAAGTGTCTTGATAAAACCGGGACATCCTTGTTTTTTAATAGCAAGAGCACAGTGGCCATTTTGTTTTTGTTTTCCCAATAACTTTTATTAACTTTATACAAATATCACACATACTGTAAAACAAATAAAACAAAAATAAAGAAACCAATAAAACTGCTAAAACAAATTAAAACAAAAAATATAACAACAAACACTTAAACAACACAAATTAATTAACTAGTTAAACTTCCAATCTCATAAACATGTTATTTGACTTCCTCTAGTCACTCCCATCTGAATTTCCTTGTATCTGAATGTAGCACTGGTTGGACAGTGTTCTCGAAGCTACCAGCATGAGTTTGACCAAACTGCAGGAGGCAGTGGAAGACAGGAGTGCCTGGCGTGCTCTGGTCCATGGGATCATGAAGAGTTGGACATGGCTAAACAACTAAACAACAACAACAAGGGAATAAGGGTAGACCGCACAGAGTGTCTATGCTATAATTTGCAGCCAGCCCCTGATGGCCTGAAGCTTGCAAGTTGCATGTACAATTGTCTTAATTTATTATTATTATTATTATTATTATTATTATTATTATTATTAAGGCACTCTTGCCCACCTGGAAATACAGGCCCTCCACCTGCTACCTGGAGGCCAGTCAAACCTGGAGACCTCAGGCAGGATCTGGAGGTCTGGCAACCCTACTGGAGAGGGTTGTGACACAGAAGGGTGTGCAATCTGCAAAGGGCCCCAAAGGGCCAGACAGAAAGGCCTTGAGGGCCACATTGCTCTCCCGCCGGACCTGATGTTCTCCATGCCTGTTGTACTTCCTAACTCACCAGGTCGCTAAAGTGCAAATTTGAATCCAGGTTAGATCACCAAAGTTAACCCTTGGCCCTTCCTATTCTAGCATGTCTCTCTAATCACTGCTCAACATGGTTTTGCAGAAGGGCTAAGTAAGGCCTTCTTTGGGTTCAGAGCTCCACCGCTTACCCAAACAGGACAATTTCTGGCATTTGTGGGTTGCCCTTGGAAAACTCGATTTTCTAGCTGCAGAAGGGAGCATAATTTGCCTGCCAGAGAGGAACTCGGCAATAAAATGTCCTTTGCCGCGCTATAATTTTCAGGAAACTGTTGGTCTGAAAAGGCAATAAAACCTTGTTTGGAAACTCCTGAATGGCCTTAACCTTTAACTTGTTCTCAAGTCAAAGTCCCCAAGCTAACAGCTGAGTGCCGAGCCTAGCTGCCAACTTTTCCCTTTTCTTGCGAGGAATCCTATTCGGAATAAGAGAATTTCCCTTTGAAAAAGGGAAATGTTGACAGCTATGGTGCCGAGTACACAGTGAGACACTTTTCTGAGACGAATGGAAGCCGCTGGCTGATTCTCTGTCCAAAGCAGAAAAGAAGGATGGTGTAGGGATGCATTCATTCATTCACGACAACTTATTATATCTCACCTTTTGGGGGAGAGATCCTTCCGAGATGGCTCACAAGAAAAGGCATTTTCAGAAAGGAAGAATACCAACATACAAAATAGGGGTAGGGAAGGTTTTTTTCAGCCTGAGGTCCACATTCCATTTGGGGCAATTTTTCCAGGGGCCACATGTTATGGTGAGCAGAGCCAGCGGCCAATGGATGTCCATGCTACCTGCCTTGTTGTTGTTTAGTCGTTTAGTCGTGTCCTACTCTTCATGACCCCATGGACCAGAGCATGCCAGGCACTCCTAGGCTTCCACTGCCTCCCGCAGTTTGGTCAAACTCATGCTGGTAGCTTCGAAAACACTGTCCAACCCTCTCGTCCTCTGTCCTCCCCTTCTCCTTGTGCCCTCCATCTTTCCCAACATCAGGGTCTTTTCCAGGGAGTCTTCTCTTCTCATGAGGTGGCCAAAGTATTGGAGCCTCAGCTTCAGGATCTGTCCTTCCAGGGAGTACTCAGGGCTGATTTCCTTCAGAATGGAGAGGTTTGATCTTCTTGCAGTCCATGGGACTCTCAAGAGTCTCCTCCAGCACCATAATTCAAAAGCATCAATTCAAAAGCATCAATCAGCCTTCTTTATGGTCCAGCTCTCACTTCCATACATCACTACTGGGAAAACCATAGCTTTTACTATATGGACCTTTGTTGGCAAGGTGATATCTCTGCTTTTTAAGATGCTGTCTAGGTTTGTCATTGCTTTTCTCCCAAGAAGCAGGCGTCTTTTAATTACGTGGCTGCTGTTACCATCTGCAGTGATCATGGAGCCCAAGAAAGTAAAATCTCTCACTGCCTCCATTTCTTCCCCTTCTATTTGCCAGGAGGTGATGGGACCAGTGGCCATGATCTTCCTGCCTACAGTAGGCTAATTTCCTTGCTTGCGGAAAGTTGAGCAGCTTGGCAGAGAGGCCTGGTTAGCGGTGGAGGCGAGTTGTGAACCCCCATTTCAGGTTGGATGCCGTTCCAAGAGAGCTTGTATCCAGTTCAAAATGGGGCCAGATTTTTCAAGTGAGAAGACCTTCCATGTTCTGTTGTCGTTTTTTAAAGATAGATTTTAACCCCTACCTTTTTGGAGTCTTGCCCCATGAGCAAAACAACAATAACCAACCCCTTTCCATCCCCTTCTTGAGTCTCTTGAAGCATAGAGGCAGAGCCATATATAGATTTGTGCAAACACTTCGACCCATTTTTCCCCCTCCCAGAAAGAAGTCGCTCAAAGCCGTTTATAAAAACCCCAAACCAGAAATTACAGCAATCCATCATTTTAACAATTGCCAGACTAACAAAAGCAGCATCAAGGAAGAAGAAGAACGCAAAGAGCAAACAATCAATAAATTAAATTAATCAGCAACAGAAACAAAAGCTTCTTTGAAGGGGAATGCTTTTCAGTTCCTGGCAGAACACAAATAGAGCAGAAGATAACCCAACTTCGTAGGCCAAGGAATTTCACATTATCAGATGTGATGGGATGATGAGCTGCTTGTGCGTAAAATCGTATCCCCTCAGAGTTTGTTCAAGTCCACAAACCTCTGTCTGTGACGGAGCCCCTCAGACATGGCTCCTCTAGTCACTAGCAGATTCCGACAGTGGTTGCTTTCGGAATCGCTTCCAACATAAAAGCTCCTTAACGGAAACACGTCTTCTGGACTCTCTGCGTGTCAGTTTCCGGCGAGGAGTGGGTGTCCCTACAGGAGGTCCTGAAACCTCCCCACTGTTTTCGCTGGAAGTGTCTCTGAGCCATCCCTCCAGCTCACTTTCCCTCAGCTCAGCTCCTCTCCCCTACTGGTTCCCTCTTCAGCTGCTGAGTCTCTCCCAACCTGTGTGAGCCCTTTCACCTCCCTTCCTTCCGATGGCAGTTCCCTGACATCCACCTCCCCTCCAGGGCCCCCTTCACCCCCTCTCGCCCCCTCCTCTACGGGCGGTGAGGAGGCAAAACCCCGGAATGAACTTCCTTCATCTTCCGATGTCTCGAACACTTCTCTCCACCTGTTGCGGTTCCTGGTCTCAAGTACTCCTCCTCCTCAGAGTCCATCTCCCTTCCCCTTCCGAGTCCGGGAAGCCTTCCAACTCCTCCTCCTCATCAGTGGTCCCAAAGTATTCCCTCCGGAACCTCTCCACAGGCTGAGGTTTCCTTGGGAACCTTTGATGGAACGTTTCTATCAATACCTCGTCATTGATATCTTCGGCCATTACCCAAGTGTTTTCTGACTCCGGTTCTCCTTCCCACGCTACCAAATACTCCACCTGATTCCCCTTCCACCTGGCGTCGAGGATTTCTGCCACATGGCTGCTGCATTCTCTTTCTTCTATGACCGGTCCCCGAGTGGCCATCCCTTCTCGTCCCCTTCGTACGGTGACAGTAACGACCTGTGAAATACTGGGTGCAGTTTCATGTGGTTGGGTAACCGGAGCCTGAAAGCCACTGGGTTGACCTGTTGAATGACCTCAAAGGGACCCAACCTCCTGGGTCTTAATTTCTTACAACCTCCTTTGAACGGCAACCCTTGGGTTGACAGCCACACCCTATCTCCCACCCTTATGGTTTCACCTTCCCTTCGGTTCTTGTCTGCTTGCCTCTTGTATTCTTCCTTCGCCCTTTCTAAGTTGAGTTGGAGCTGACAATGGATTGCTTCCATTTCTTCTACAAAATGCTCGGCTGCCGGGACGCTCCATCTCTCCCCATCTCCCCTGGGAAAGCCCTGGGATGACACCCATAATTAGCCAAGAAGGGGCTCATCCCTGTGGACACATTCTCGGCATTGTTGTAGGCAAATTCCGCCAGCGCCAACTTTTCTACCCAGTCATTCTCTCTGTCATTGACATAACACCTCAGGTATTGCTGGAGGACACCGTTTGCTCTTTCCGCCTGCCCGTTGGTTTCAGGGTGCCGGGCAGTCGAAAATTGACCTCCACCTGCAGTAAGCTCATGAGCTTCCTCCAGAACCTGGAAGTAAATTGTTTTCCTCGGTCTGAGACCACCCTCAATGGCACCCCGTGCAACCTAAAAATGTGTTCTACAAATAACTTCGCTGTCTCTTCCGCCGTGACTGCATGCGAGCAAGCTACAAAGTGGCACATCTTTGTTAGTAGGTCCACCACCACCATGATGGCTGTTTTCCCTTTGGACTTCGGCAGATCAGTCATAAAATCTATCGACACTGCCTCCCAAGGTCGTTCTGGGGTTGGTAAGGGTTCTAATAGCCCCGCCGGCGCCCGCCTTTCCCCTTGGCTCGCTGGCATTGCTCGCACCCTCTTACATACTCACGTACATCTTCCCTCACCTTGGGCCACCAAAATTCCCTGGTGACCAACCACATGGTTTTGTGTTGTCCAAAATGCCCCGCCGTAGGGCTGTCGTGCAACTGCTTGAGTACCCTCCCCTTAAGTCTCCTTCAGGGATATACAGTGCCCCTTTGTAATACAAAGCTCCATTTCTTTCCTCGAAACCCCTGGTTCCTCTCCCTCACCCCTAAGACCTCTGAGCTTATTCTGGGCGTATTCATCATTCTCTGTTTCCTCTACCAGTTCTCTTTGTCCCACCAATGCCGCCCCACACACCCAGCGGTCCTCTGGAATGACATGTCTCTCTTCGGGTGCTCCCTCCTCCAAATATTCAGGTTTGCGTGAGAGAGCGTCCGCCCTAATGTTCTCTGGGCCTGGCACGTAACAAATCTCAAAGTTAAATTTGGAGAACTCCTGGGCCCATCTCACTTGCCGTTGGTTGAGCACTCGTGCCGTCCTCCAATACTCTAGGTTCTTGTGGTCAGTGCACACTTGCACCTTATGTTGTGCGCCAATTAGCAGGTGCCTCCATCTCCGGAACGCCTCATGAATGGCTAGTAGTTCTCGGTCATACACCGTGTAGTTCCTCTCGGATTTGTTCAGCTTTCGCGAAAAAAGGCACACGGTCTCCACTCTGACTCCTCCTTCCCTGGCTGCAGAAGCACCGCCCCAATCGCTCTGTCTGATGCGTCAGTTTCCACTCTCATCGGTTTTTGTAAATCCACATGCAGGAGTTGTTGTTCCGAGGCGAAGGCCCTTTTAGTTCCTCAAATGCTCGCTCCGCCTCCTCAGTCCAAACGAACTTCTTCTTACTGCTGAGACAGTCCGTAATGGGCGCCGTCAGGTGGGCAAAGTTTCGGATGAACTTACGATAGAAGTTCCCAAATCCTAGGAACCTCTGCACATCCTTCCTTGTTTTGGGTGTTTTCCATTCCAGCACCGCCTGGACCTTGCCGGGATCCATGGCCAATCCCTTGTCTGACAGGCGATACCCCAGGAATTCCACCTCCTTGGTATGAAACTGACACTTCTCCAGTTTCACCCACAGCTGGTTGGCTTGCAGCCTGCTCAACACTTCTCTGACGTCTCTCACATGCTGCTCCTCATTCTCAGAATACACCAACACGTCGTCTAAGAAGGCCACACAATTCTTGTAAAGCAAAGGCCCCAGGACGTGGTTCATAAACGATTGAAAGCATGCGGAGCCTGCTTGGAGGCCGAAGGGCATAACCAAATATTCAAATGCCCCTAAAGGGGTGAACATGGTGGTTTTCCATTCATCACCCTTCCTTATTCGTATCAGGTTGTACGCCCCCCTTAGGTCCAGCTTTGTGAAAATCTTTCCCTTCCGCACCCTTGTCAAAATGTCGTCAATCCTGGGCATAGGGAAGGCCACTGGTTCTGACACTGCATTTAAGGCCCTGAAGTCACACACCAGCCTCGGCTTGTTCGTGTTTTTTTATCCACAAAAAACACTGGGCTGCCCCCCACCGCCCTGGACTCTCTGATGAACCCTCTCTTCAGGTTCTTGTCAATGAACTCTCTTAGCTCCTGCATCTCTCTGTCTGACATGGCGTACAGCTTGCCTACAGGGAGCTGTGCCCCAGGGAGTAAATTGATTTGACAGTCAAAGGGTCTATGCGGGGGTAGTTGGTCAGCTTCCCTTTCGCTGAAGACGTCGCGGAGATCTGCATATTGTCGTGGTACCTTCACGTTCTCCGTTACTTCAGTCCCTGCTAGGGTGGCTTGGGCCCCTGCCAAACCCTTTCCCTCTTTGCAGTGTTCTAAGCAATGTGCTGAACCAAAAGAAACCACTCTCTGATGCCAGCCCACCAGCGGATCATGTAACGCTAGCCAGCTCATCCCCAATATAATGGGAGCTCCTCCCAAGGTGGCCACATTAAACGCTATCAGTTCGGTGTGCCTTGCTACCTTCATTATCATTGGGACGGTCTGCAAGCTGACTTCTCCTCCCAACAGCTCCCTGCCATCGATCGTGGTCACCTGCAGGGGTTTGCTTAAAGGGATCGTCTGTATCTGGTGTTCAGCTGCAAACTCTTTGCTCATGAAATTGCAGGAGCTGCCTGAGTCCAACAGCGCCTTTATCTTTAGAGGGTGTCCGTTTGGCAGCTCTAGCGCCACTTCTATCACTAGGGCGGGTTTAGGAGGTTCTGGCGTGGGCACTCTCACTGCTCTTTGGCCTGGCTGCTGTGCCCCGACAGTGGCAGCCAGGCGTTGGCTTTTACTTGCTCCGGTATTCCTTCCTCTCTTCCCTCCACAGCTCCTACCATCCCTTGCCATTCCTTCCTCTGGGGGCAGACTCTGGCAAAGTGACCTGGCTGTTGGCAGAGATAGCATTTCCGGGCGCCTTTTCCCTCCTTCTTTCCCCCTCACTGGGCTTTGAAACTGCGCGCGCGCGCTGTTCCGATTTCCATCGGCTCTGCCGGCGGGAAAGTTGGCTCTGGAATGTCTGGAATGCGGAACTCCTTCCAACGTTCCCCTTCCCTTCCCGCCTCTCCAATGCTCTCGCCTCCTGGCGCGCTCCTATGGTCAGCGCTGATTTGGTCAGCTGGTCCATAGACTCCGCCCTGGGCGCCCGGGAAAGTTCGTCTTTCACAGCCGAAGAAAGCCCTTCTTCAAAGAGCATTTGAATGGGTTCCGCCGATAAGTCCCACCCCAATCTGTGAACCAGCATGGTGAACTCAGTCCAGTACTCACGGACAGATCGGCTCCCTGTTTGCAAGCCATTAACTGTCTGCGCACCACTCCCTGTTCAATATCGCTGGAAAACATCAGATCCATGGCGCGAAAGAACTTCATCGTGTCCTTTAGGACGTCACTATTCGCTGCCATCAGGGGTCTAACCCAGTCTCTCGCCCCTTTTCAAGATGCTCAATCACGAAAGCCACTCGTGATTCCTCGTCAGGGAATTCATCAAACTGCAGATTGAGGGCATATTGCATCTCTGTCCGAAAGCCATGATAGTCTTTGGGCTCCCCCCCAAACTTCTGCACCAATCCTGGTACCTTTCTGGCGAGCTGGGTGGCTTTCCCTTTTGTCTGCATCCTGAGCCCTCCTCTCCTCAAGCCTCGCCGTCTGCAGCGCTAGCTGGACCTCCAACACCCGGTACCTTTCTTCCAGGCTTGGACCCGCTCCAGCTCCTGCTTCTCCGGTTCCGGCTGGGTTGCTCATGATGCCTTCTCCTGCACAAGCTGCTTTCAAAGACTGTCGGAATGCTGTGATGGGATGATGAGCTGCTTGTGCGTAAAATCGTATCCCCTCAGAGTTTGTTCAAGTCCACAAACCTCTGTCTGTGACGGAGCCCCTCAGACATGGCTCCTCTAGTCACTAGCAGATTCCGACAGTGGTTGCTTTCGGAATCGCTTCCAACATAAAAGCTCCTTAACGGAAACACGTCTTCTGGACTCTCTGCGTGTCAGTTTCCGGCGAGGAGTGGGTGTCCCTACAGGAGGTCCTGAAACCTCCCCACTGTTTTCGCTGGAAGTGTCTCTGAGCCATCCCTCCAGCTCACTTTCCCTCAGCTCAGCTCCTCTCCCCCTACTGGTTCCCTCTTCAGCTGCTGAGTCTCTCCCAACCTGTGTGAGCCCTTTCACCTCCCTTCCTTCCGATGGCAGTTCCCTGACATCAGATATCATCACCCCAGAGGTGGTCATCTTTGAAGTGATAGGGATGGGCAATTTTGTGTGTTGTGGTTTCTCTCGTTTTCTCATTTCCCCACCCATCTCTGCATCAATTTGTCATTTTCATTTCTAAATAAAACAAAAAGAAATTTGTATGAATCTTTATATGCATTTTTATGTTTATCATATGTTAAGAACATATGCATTCTCCTACACAATTTTGCCTTGTATACACATTTCTGCATGTTATTTACCCTAACATAATGCAATTTTTGAACACTAATACATGCATTTTTGTGCACATGTTTGGGTTGGAGGTCTACAACATTTGTAGATGTGGGAATTTCAAAGGATACTTGTGGTCAGTTTGCCTGTTTGGAAGTGTGTGTTAAGCAGTTTCACATTTAAAGGTGAACCAAGCAGACAAAAAAATTCCCCATCCCTTTTGGCAAGGACTTATCCCAGGAATCCTCATTCACCCAAGAATTGACCATTACTGATACAGTTGTATATCTGAAGGGGAGGTCTTCAAGTGTAGCAGTGGTGGCTCAGCCTTCTACCCTCTATAAGCAGAGTAGACCAGGTTTCTAGAGGATTGGACTTCAAAATTGAGAAGTGTGTGACCTTAGAGCTAAAAGGAGATACCTGTTAGAACAGTGGGATAGAAGCAGAACCTAATGGCTCATCAAGGGACAAAATCGGTCCATGTTTGGTGACTCATTGATGGAGCCTAATGGATCTGAGAGCAGAGCTAATGGTCAAAAACATTGCCTCTTATGCCCTAACATGGTGGAAAGATATTGAAGAAGAGGCCAAACACCCTGAATCTTCAGGTGGATCCTTAAGAACTGGCAGGCCTCTATGCAAAAACGAATATTATTTTCATATTCATTTATTTTCCTGCCAGGACTTCCTTGTTTTGTCTTGCTTTTGTCCCCTGCAAAGTGCCAGGGGATCAATCTGCATCACAGTTGCTTCTCAGGCAGCGAGTGTCACTAAAAATAATAATCCTTGAGCCAACCATTTCTTTACATAATAGCGAAAAGTGTGCCATAATCATGAACAATACCCTACTCCGTGGATCTTATTGTTGGCTTCGGGCCTTGGCTCTCAGCTCCTGCCTTTGGTCAAACAATGTGAGGGTGATCAAAGTCAAATGTGAAGTGCCCCGTATTCGTGCCTGACATAGCACCTGACGCCTGTTTGCTCACCCAGAAAGCATGGGAACGTTTTCTTTCCTCTTTTATGCTTGTTTCTACAAAAGTTTCCTACTGCCTTCAAGTTCGCCCAGTAGAAAAGTTCCAGCTGACTCACAGGCACGTGGGCAGCCCTGTGTTTTCCTGAGGATAACTGGCTCCCCAGCGAATTTGCCGCTCAAAATTCCCCCCAAAAAAATCTCAAAGAGCTAATTTTAAATAAACAAAGCTTTGCAAAAGAAAAGAGCAGAGAGGGGGGACAGAGAGAACTCTTTACAAAAGGGGGAAAACAAGTAGCAAAAATAGATTACTTCCCCCCTCCTCTTCCTTTTTCCTCTCTCTTGCTGGAGATAAGCAAGCGCCACACCCACACACCAAACTATTATTATTATTTAAATAATAATAAGAAGAAATATGATTGAAAGTCTTAGTTCTTCCATCAAGTGATAACTTTGCCACTGGATAGAGAGTTAGGTCCACCAAATCATAGAACCATAGAGTTGGACGTCTGAATAGTTAAAGCTATGGTTTTCCCAGTAGTGATGTATGGAAGTGAGAGCTGGACCATAAAGAAGGCTGATCGCCAAAGAATTGATGCTTTTGAATTATGGTGTTGGAGGAGACTCTTGAGAGTCGCATGGACTGCAAGAAGATCAAACCTATCCATTCTGAAGGAAATCAGCCCTGATTGCTCCCTGGAAGGACAGATCCTGAAGCTGAGGCTCCAATACTTTGGCCACCTCATGAGAAGAGAAGACTTCCTGGAAAAGACCCTGATGCTGGGAAAGAAGGAGGGCACAAGGAGAAGGGGACGACAGAGGACGAGATGGTTGGAGAGTGTTTTCGAAGCTACAAACATGAGTCTGACCAAACTGCGGGAGGCAGTGGAAGACAGGAGTGCCTGGCATGCTCTGGTCCATGGGGTCACGAAGAGTCGGACATGACTAAATGACTAAACAACAACAACAAAGAGTTGGAAATGACCCATCTAGACCAGCGTCCTGTTCTCATAGTGGCCAAACAGATGCCCATGGGAAATCCACAAGCAGGATTTGAACACTCTCCCCTCCCGTGCTTTCCAGAAATTGGTATTCAGAAGCGTTACTTTCTCCAATCATGCATGCAGAAGCTTCCATGTTCCATGACTTCTGTGTGGAGAAGACACAGAAATGCTATTGAGTGACAGGGAGAACGCGTAACTCTGCTACAATTCCCATAATTCTTTGGGAGACTCAATAACAGACATATACATAGGGAGCCTTCCAGATGGTGCTGAATTTCCAACTCCCATCATTCCTGTCTATTGCTGTACTGGTTGACACTGATGGAACCTTTGGTCTAAAACTCCTAAAGGTGGTTAGAAAAGGTTGGTCTGACTCACTGCAAGACATCTTCATATTTGAGCAACCAGATAGTCCTTGATGTTGATATTTTGCATCAACAGAGGAGCAAAAGGGTGCCTGTCACACATGCACATTGTTTTTCGCCTGCTCAGTAACTTTCTATTCTCCTGATCTTCTCAGGATCTTCTCCTTCTCCTTATTTGTTCTCAGCGTCCCCAGTTTCATTTGCCCACCCTGCTACTTAATACCTCGGTCCAGTATACCTGAAGGAGTGTCTCCACCTCCATTGTTCTTCCCAGACACTGAGGTCCAGCGCCGAGGGCCTTCTGGCGGTTCCCTCACTGCGAGAAGCCAAGTTACAGGGAACCAGGCAGAGGGCCTTCTCGGTAGTGGCGCCCGCCCTGTGGAACGCTCTCCCACCAGATGTCAAAGAGAAAAATAACTACCAGACTTTTAGAAGACATCTAAAGGCAGCCCTGTTTAATGCTTTTAATGTTTAATACGTTATTGTATTTTAAGGTTTTGTTGGAAGCCGCCCAGAGTGGCTGGGGGGACCCAGCCAGATGGGCGGGGGATAAATTATTATTATTATTATTATTATCCTGATTCGTTCCTTCTAAAACCAGCACGCATGAAATCAGCAGGTCAGATGTCTCACAATGCTGTCAGCAAAACCACGTGAGCTGCCACAGCCAATGGGACTACCCAACAGTGAGGGCAAGTGAAGTCGAGGGCAGTGAGGGTGAAGAAGAGTGGTGGCAGTGATGGCAACAGAGAGCCTGTTTGTACAAACTGAATGTGTTTGTAATGAGGCCCAAAACCCACCAAAACCAAGAAGCACTTTTTGACACTCATGGAGAAAGATGGTGTGTGTACATTTATGTATGCCATCTTTGTATGATTAGCAGGTGCCTTACGATTTAGTTGGGGGTCTCTCTGCCATACGAATTGCATGCTTAATAAATCTGCTGAAAGTCTTACAAAACCACTTCTGTTCTGCAGTTCATATGGGAGAAGGACTCAGTGATGGACAGCGTTCCTGGACTATTTAAAAAATGTTTTCCCCAAAACCCCACCCCAAAGGATCTTAGGAAAACAATGCTTTAAAAAAGGAAAAAGGAGAGCTGGGTGTGTCCTTTTATGGTTCTGACCATTCCAACCAAGTGAGTGATAATGGCTAACCTTTCCTAGGAAGTTCACGGAGAACAATATTTTTAGGAGGTTTGCCAAGGCATGTTGGGAGCCATCTTAACTTGAGCCAGAATATCTTCAGGGAAACAAAATGTGGATGGACCTAAATGTTACCAGATGAAGAAGGCAAGATCTATTGGAAGGGTGAAATGTTGCCCGGAATTAGGGAAAGGGAGATCTTATCTGCACAACCATTTTTCATCCAGTGTTTTTCATATAAACCTTGATGTTGTGAACATTTGCTTAGATCCTTTCTGGAGTTTCAAGAAAAGCTACTAACTCAGGTGGGCCAGTAAATACTTTGCAGGACTCTAGCACACCTGTAATAATAAGTCTTTCAAGAGTTCAATAGGATAAGATGGGCTGGTGACTATTCCTATTTAGCTGGTTTTTCTGTGTTAATTTTTGTTTGTAACCCTGTCATGCTAAAAAAAACTGCTAAGAGAAGTGGTGTTACATCTCTTGGCTCAACTGTTGTACAGAACCACTTCTGTTCTACAATTTGTATGGGAGGACCCTACCTCCATTGGTAAACTGTGTATACCAGGAGCGTCTCCACCCCCATCGTTCTACCCGGACACTGAAGTCCAGCTCTGAGGGCCTTCTGGTAGTTCCTTCACTGCGAGAATTCAAGTTACAGGGAACCAGGCAGAGGGCCTTCTTGGTAGTGGCGCCCGCCCTGTGGAACGCCCTCCCACCAGATGTCAAAGAGAACAACAACTACCAGACTTTTAGAAGACATCTGAAGGCAGCCCTGTTTAGGGAAGCTTTTAATGTTTGATGTATTACGGTATTTTAATATTTTGTTGGAAGCCACCCAGAGTGGCTGGGGAAGCCCAGCCAGATGGGCAGGGTATAAATAAATAAATTATTATTATTATTATTATTATTATTATTATTATTATTTCACATGGCAGAGGTGTTGGACACAATGGCAAGCCACATAGGAGAAGGATCCTGACTTAGCTGATAAACCACACAAAGTTCATATGGGAGAAGGGCAGTGGCATAAACTGCATGCTTTGTATTGCAGAAGATCCCAAATCCAATTTCTAGTCTCCAGTTAAAAAGAGAGCAGGTTACATGTGATGGGAGAGTCCACCATGTGGGATGTTGGAAAGCTATTGCCCATCAGAGAAGACAATGCTGAGCTACATTGACCGATGGTAGACTCAGTGTTGAGCAGGCCTCTGTGCTTCCTGTATATGCCATATTGTCAGGGACTGGGCAGAGGAGGAATGGTGGAGACCACCTCCCCATCCTGACCCTTCCAGGGGGGAGGAAGAGGAAGACAGTATAGATTTACAACAGGAGTCTGAGGGAGGTCACAGCTCAGAGGCAGATGAGGGGGGAAAC